TTTCTCTGTTGTTTCCCGTTTTGTTTCCCCGTTGTGCTTCCCTATTGTATTCCCCGTTGCACTACCCCGTCGTTGGGTCGAAGTCCTCGAGCCAAGCATTGAAAAAATGATGACTTAGGACTTTTGCCCATCTTCGAAAAAAATGTATTTCACAAAAATCTGTGATTTTTTTTTCAGATAGATTTGCACAAATATTAACATTTCACTTCGCTATGTTACAAAAGCAGCTTTTCCCAATAGGGGACCACAATAGGGAAGCACAACGGGGAAACAAAACGGGAAACAACAGAGAAAAATGAAAATTTGAAAAACATATATTTATTTTTCAATTTATTTAAAATAATGTCTCTATATAAATCGAAGGAAAAAATGAAAATCACAATTTTTCAAGATGGGCACAAGTCCTAAGAAATCAGAACCTACATACTTACACTACATTACATTAGGTTACATTACAGCACATTACATTACACTACAGTACATTACATTACGTTACAGTACATTACAGTAAATTACATTACATACACGCGCAGGACTTGGTGCACAAAATCGTATGTCACCAGAGGGGAACAAGTCCTATGTCATCATGGTTTTACGAGTGGCCCATGCCGCACTAAAAAAAATCAAACATAGTTTCTAATCTTATACGGACACCGGATGAGTTGGGACTTGTGCAGGGGGGGTCCGACGCATGATGAGATAGGACTTGGCCACACCGGGGTATCTTTCACAAGTCCTAAGTCACTCGCTTGAAATATATGTATATATATTATATAGCCCACTAATGAACCTCACTGGAACCAACAAGAAGCATGTTCTTGGCATTTTCCAAGTTGTTTAGCACTTCGCTTTCGGCCCCCCCGGACTAGAACTCTGCCCACCTTCCCCTGACTGCTCTGGCCCTGGATGGACTTGACCTTGAAGTACTCACTCATCTGAGCCGAATTCAAGTCCAATGCCGAGCGCAGCTCAGCATACCTGGCTATGGTTGATTTACGCAGGTCATTATGGTCATTCTGGCAGTAAGTAGATATTTAACAGATATTTACACATCACATGCTACATGATGTTTAGTGGTTCCATCAGAATTCAATGCCGAAAATCTGAAAATCCAGGAGTTGGCATTTTGTCGCCCTGTTTTTGAGGATGGATCTCACCAGCCATCAACTGAAGCCAGGCCCGGCAAAAATTAAGGCTTCTGATGTGCCCTCACGTCCCACACAAACCAAACTCTTCCAAATTCGACTTTCAACAGAAAGAATACAGAAAAATTCAACAAAAAAACATGTCCTCCCCCGCCCCAACTCCAATCATCTTCCAAGCGACTTCTGCGCCTTCATGGATTGCTTCAGATTAAAGGCATCTCTCCGGGCCGCCGCCTTGATCTCCTTGGATTTGGCCTCGGCTCCAGCCGAGATGTTGGCGATGGTCGCCTGGTTCTCGGACTGCAGCACGGAGATATGCTGTACCACCCGCTGAACCTACGACTACGGGCCAGGGACCCCGGGCCAGGGTCACTTTAATCCACTTGAATCATGGGAAAATATTCAAGCTATTGGAAGAAAAAATCCCCCTGAAATGGATCGGATCTTTGACATTCCACGCAATTTCAATGCGGTGAAGAATGGTGAAAAACCCTCAGTGCACGGCCAGCATCATGGCTCTCGTTTAACAAAAACAAAAAAGAGCAACAGAATGACATCGCCCCCGCCTGCTGTTCGTACTCATTCACCACCTTAGCCTGCTCGGCCACTTGCACTGCAGTGATGGAGTCCTCGAACTGCTTGGCAAAGTCCACCTGGCCAGGAGACTGATCACAGCTGAAAAATGATATGTCTACCTGCACCGTCCAAGAGCAGCACAATTACTACTCTTTCAAAAACTGTTTTTTCAAACTGCGAGTGTTTTGTTCTCCGTTCGAACGATTCTTGTTTTTGTAGTGTTGTGGTCATGGCTGAAACGGCAAAACTCTAGGAATAGCTTCAGCTTGAAACAGCGAAAATACCCCAGCCAAACGGCTTAAAATCCAAACCAAACGGGTCTTTTTTTGCCTCGTATTTTGGTGCTTTAGCCGCTGAATAGCCATTGCCCTGCACGTCTATGTCCGAAGCTTTCAGGCAAGCAATCAAAAAGTTTGAATATGGAAATGAATTCTTTGTTGATGAAAAACGTATAATTTCATTTCACTGCCATAGATTTGTGCGAACCATCTCTCAGGGAAGCTGTATGTTGCACTACTAAAAATGGGCTGCATCACTCTTCAGGATTTGATGCTTGCATATATTGTAAGCAATACACTCCTGCAGGTATAGGTATGTAGTTGTTCAATACATACACATAATGACATACCCTAGTCGGCAGGCGTGTAACTTTGATACCCATTTTGACAGTCAACAGTTCCGACTTGCGGCTGGTTGTTTCAGGTAAGTGTTTTTTTGGTGGAAGTCCCAAATCAGGTGTTTGCTGTCGTTCCACGAGTGCGATTTTTTGATTTTTTTGTGATATGTAAATATATGAATATACGTACACATAATTGTGATAAATATATATATATATATGTAGCACAAATAATATCCGCCATACAGACTATTTGTCTGCATGTGTATTTGCATATGTTGTTTTTAGCATCATATGCCTCCACAGCAGATAGAAGAGCAAATTACCATTAGATTCTAGGGATTCGGGTTTCTATGTTTCTGTGGTTCTTAAAGGTCCGTTGTTATCCAACTCAGGTTCGTTTTTGCTTCCATTGCGTGCCAGTTTGGTGGACCACTGACCTTCATGATCTCGAACTGCATGGCTTCGACATAGCCCTGGTGCCATAGGGTATGGTTGATCTTGAAGAGCATTCGATCCGAGATTGTTCTTCTTTTGGTCCAGAAGTCTGTGGGAGTGTACTCTTGCGCCGTGTTGCTCACGACATTTCCCGCCAGCAGCAGATATCTTTCCCTGGCAGCCTGGAAACTTCCAAAGGAGAGGTAGACTTGTTGAATGAGCTCCGGCACAAACTTCACCTGAACGTTCAACTGATCCAGTTTTTGGTCTCAAAAAACACTAGTGACTTGGTATCATCGGATGGCTCAAAGAGAATGTGCACAGGAAAAACCATACTGACATATCGTATCTGAAGGGAACAAGCATGATTCTTGTAGGAGTTTGCTTGATCAACGACAAGCACCTGGATTAACTGGGATTCTTGCAAAATAGCTGTAAATTCATCCACACAACTGGGAGCTAAATTCATTCAAATCCACCCGATGATCATTTTATCATATTTGATCTACGGCATTTCCCGTTGCCCACGTTGCCCAGTTCCGCTGTGCCTGAACAGCACAGGAGATGGAGATGGGCTGCCCACCGCTGTCTGGATCCTGTGGATCCGCCCCAGTCCGGGTGTGCACCGGTGCCCGGTCACCATCACTCCAGGACCACTGCAACGTTCCCTGCGCCGCAGGCACCGTGAAGAACGTCTTCAAGGGACCCACGAAGTGGATGCCGCCGCGCTCGGCCCGGTCCGAGATGTAGCCCGTCAGGAGGTTCTTTCGGATGCCTCAGGTGGCATCTTCGAGGTGGGACATTTCCAGAAGAGATGATGCGGTGTGGTAAAGTGAAAGATGGAAATGCTACGCAAAAACAAAACGGTGTCCAGGCATAGCATTCCTTCGAAACGGTGGACTTTACAAAAAAATCTAGGCGTTTCACCAGCCAAAAATGATAAATCTAGATCTATATCATTCCATGCTCTATACCAATACCCCTCTATTCAATTCTATTCATCTCAATCTGTAAAAATCTCCCACTTTTTCCTGGGTTTCATCCGACCCAGCTGCCATATTGGTTGGGCTCCAGGACCACCACACAGGTCACCAAGATGAAGAGGACAAAGCCCGTCACACGGCCCAGCCAGGTCGCCACTGATCCACCCGCGGGCTCCGCCACAGGACGGCCGTCCCCTAAGAGCCCCACGTCCATGGCCGGACGTGGCCGGAGCGGGGGAATCCTACATCTGGGCCGGCGGCCATGGTGAAAAACATAAGTTCCTTCCGGGATTCGAGTGGAAAATCGGAACCAGATTTTTTTTGCTGCCCCTCTGATTTTGCTGTTTTCCTGGCCTTATTATTACTCCCTTCAACCAATGGTATGGGACAGGTGAATTTTCATGCGAATTGGGGGATGAAAGTGTGGCTAAAGAGGCTGTTTCCATGTGAGTAGCTTTTGGAACTTTCTATAAAATCTATAAAACATGATAAAGAGGGAAAAGGGAGGAAAATCATCTGCACAATAAATGGGGGATATTCGTTTGCCACGTTTGTCTACCACAGTTTATAAGCCAATGTAGCCAATGATGTCCTCAAATTGGACAAACAGGTAAGGGGCCAGCATAGATGCACCATTTTGTCATCACTTACCTGTTGTAAACAAAGGGTGGTTACAGTTTTCCCCTCTTTATCTGGTCAACCAGCCAGTAAGAAAAGGACGACAGACTCGGATGATTTGCAACGGAAGCGCATGAGGACAGGCCAACATTTTTTCCAAGATAAAATATTCATCTGTCATTGGTTAGGTTGCTTGTGTGCGGGTGCGTTACGGTCCCTGATCAGTGCACTGATCTCGTGAAATTTCACTTGGCTGTGCCCCACAAGTGGCGTCATAGCCAAAATCCTCTTTAGATAGCAGACATGCCCACAACCTAGTCCAAAATTCCTTTTTACTCATAACATGGTACAAATTTGTCCATATAGAGGAATCAAGAAAGAATTTGGGGCCGCCCGAATGCGGCGGTGACCTTGAAAGCAGCTTCGTCTTGTTTTTCCATATTCGCGCCGTCTCTGCTGCCAGTTTTCTCTGTAAATACTGGGCCCTGTGACATTGTCTTGTGCTGTGTCTGCACATGTTCTCCGGCCGAACGGGGAGCATCAAAGCAAGACCAAATAATACCCAAATCAGTTCAGAACCTCTTATCACTATGAACTCTGAGATACTCTGAGTCTAAACATAATCTGGGATCTGTTTGAAAGCTCGTCATGCTCATGTGACTCATGTGTGATGCCAACCGACCAGTACCACCTCTCTGGTTGGAGGGGGGCTGCTGCCAGGACATTCACTCCACAAGTTCACTCTTCACCATCTGCGACTGGGTGTCAAAGATGATGTCAAAGCTTGCACCCGCTGCACCTCCCAACTCAACACTGGAACAGACTCCACTGCAGCCTATCAATATAAACATCTAAGCATCCAGCCTGCCGAGAAAAAAACATTTGAAAATGATCAGTATACAAAAAAAATGCTATAGTTCATAGAGAAAATCATGATTTTTAAGCAGCAGGTATCACGGGGTAACAATGGGGTTCCCTCCCCAGGGGCCGGCCTTCCACGGCCCAGTTGCGACCATGGCCCTTCTTCTTGGAGCCCAGGGCGGCTTTGGATCCCGGGCCACCAGGTTTCAGCACCACCACCTCCTGCGGAAATAGATAGATCTGGGCTTTGAGGATGGTTGTGTTTTTCCTTTCTTTCTGGTGAAATAGCTAAATTAGCTAACAACCAAACATCCAATTTGGGAGGGGCCAAATTTTGATCCAGTCTCGTTTCGAATCTAGTGATTGGCCAAGCAATGACGCTTGCACAACAAAAAAAAACGGACACCTGACATCATGGCTTGGAATGAATGCTTCCCCATCGAGCAGAGTGATGCAAACAGAGGTTCAATATGATTGTAGACGGCCCCTTGGAGAGTGCCTGAACAAGCGTGACTAAGCCCTGCCCCACCACGGCAATCCCAACCTCCTTATCACCACCCGCTGGGTAGTACCTCAAATCCCAGCTCTTGTTCCCCACAATCTGGAACTCTTCTCTAACGCTGTTGCTCGCTTTTCCTTTAGGAGCATCAGACCGTAAAACCACTCGGTGTCCTTGACCAAAGCAGGGCTGCAAAGAGGAACCTTAAAAAAATATGGTTTCAGCTTACTGCACTTGACCCTATTGAAAAATTGTCAACAATGAAGTTGTCAGAAAATTGCATTCACCCTGTGACAGCTTCACTCCCCTTACTATCCGGCAACCCATCCCAAATCTCAGTCTCCATGTACAGTGACAGGCCTCATACCACTACTGAACAGGGGCATAAATCTTGGTTTTCTTGGGTCATCTACCACCTCAAGAGCAAAATAACCCTCTTCCCTCTGCACTCAGGGCCCTAGCATCCCTAGCCCAATGTAGCTTGGCGTCTGAGTCCATCGTCACCAGCCATGGCAGACTTGTGGATGCTCCACTTCTCCCAGGATCCTACGATGTGATGCGACGTGACCTCCACACCTGGGATGGGATGACTTGACGAGATCGCAGGGAACCGCCATTTAACATATATATATATATAGCTGATAGCTATAGAAAATGACCCATTTATAGGTGATGTACTGATGTACCTACCCAAAATGGTGATTTTCCATAGCAATGTTAAATTTCCAGAAGCCCCTGGGAAACAAGAAAGAAACCTGGGTTTTGGGCTCAAGGGGTTGTAATCTGGCATGATGGGCCCGTAATGATCCCCTCCCTGTAGTTCCTGGGGTCGCACCTGGATCTGAGGTCGCTTCAGGACTGCTCGCTTCATCGGAAGCTTGCCTCAAGGGGCTCTTGGGAAGGTGGGATCCAAAATCACCAAGCGGTGGATCGCACCAGAATTACAATGTAAGACATGTAAGAACGGTGGCCAAGTCTCAAACCTTCCCCAATCTTCCGGTGACACCGAGGCGCACATCAGAGGCCCGATCCTTTCGTTTCTTCTCGTCCCACTGTGGCATGAAGCTCACGCTCATTCCGGGTGACAAGGCATCCATGCCCTCACCCAAGCCACTGCGGTGCACAAAGACGTCCTCACCGCCCTCGGAGGGGGAAATGAAACCAAAACCCTTCTGGTCGTTCCAGTTCCTTAGCGATCGGAACGATGTGTGGATCAAAAGTTGGGTAGCCCCTAAAAATGGGACGGGTCAGATTTTGAATACTAGAAATTGCCAAGAACTGTGGAACCGAGAGTTTTTCATACCCACATCATTATATATGACATTTGATAAGCACGCAGAGTGAACCCAGAATCCCTAGCGTCTCACATCTCCATGAGGCCAGTTGGGTGACTAGTTGATGAAACATTACCAGCAGTTAAAGGCTTCAGCTAGCCGTCCACAAAACTCTAGAAAAAAAAATTAAATAACCGGTGACACTGGGCGATGAACTGAACTGGCAGAGTCGGATCCCCGGGGAACTTTGACAATTGGCCATGTTTCCATAATGACAGGCATGCCATGGCCATACTTCCTCCACAATTCTGCTGTCAAGCATCTTCACTACACCCACCCTCCTATCTGCGAAACACCTCACCGCCAGCCATGTGCTTGGCAAGGCCTGGCGCTGTCGCGCCACAATGCCAGCCACGCCTTGCCAACCGCGCAGCGCGGCCGCCATGGCACTTTGCGAGTAGAAAATTGAAGCACTTGAAGCTTCTTGGGAGATTATGCTGAATCCCGGGCAAGAGCCAGACCATGTTCGAGGCAATACATCCCAGCACGTGGAATCTGAAGCGCAGTTCGATGTGGAATGTCCACATGAAATTTCAAATTGGTCCCTGGATTTGAAACATTTGAAACGTTCCTTGGTCGTCCCTCTTCAACAGATCTTTGCCCACCCAACTTTTGCAAACAGCCAAGCCTGTTTGCAAGATGGAGATGCTTTGCTCCTTTGTTTGGTCCAGCCATTGTGGCCTTGAAGCGATCATTCTTAGATTTTCAGACTTTCAGATGAACTGTTCACAATGTTGCATTGCACCGAAAATGCCTATCCCGAATTTTCCATACGTCCCAATCGATTTCATGTTGTTCTTTGCCAGGGCACCCATCAAAAACCTTCAAACGGCCATGAAATCCACTCGCCACCCTTGCAGCCAGGCTTCCAGACACTACGCAACGAGTCATCGCCTGAAGACCGGCTTGGCTCCGCGTTTGATCAACAAAATCGTGACGTGAAAACGGATGAACTTGACATAGTAATAAAAATTGACCATTGAAAATAGGGATGTAATGGCGATAAAATGATGTAAAATGGTGATATGTAGGGATGTTAAGCGGATTAAAAATAAAAATATGAAATGGTTGTGTCTGAAAATTGGATACCCCCGTAGCATTGCATTGCATTGCTAACCTGGGAAAATGAAGATAAACTGTGGTATTGAAAGTGGTTCCAACATGTTCCAACTTATGGGAGCATCGATGCGGATTGAGGGCCTCCCTTCAACCGATCGCCATCAATGGCCCATGGATGGGGCCACAACGCATGCAGTCCTGACATGCCGCAAAGCCACCGAAGAAACACCCGAAACGCACATCGTAAATGTTCATGAAATGAATGGAACTATTTTATTTATACCCAAAGAAGTGTCCTTGAAACTCACGTTGCGCTCCTGTTGGAATCGCCAAAACCAAGAGAGATGCAGGAACTGATTGCAACAAGGCCCAAGTCAAGACCTAGCACACGTGACAAGCAGGAACAATGGAAAATAATTGACATGATTTCATGAAAATTAAATAAGCTTCGGTGGTATCCCAAACAGCCGCAAAATTTTATTTTCACAAATCCTTCTGAAAGGTGCTGCAAAGCCAAGCGCTGGAAACCTTGTTGAACACATTGAACCTGACCTGGCTCAACACCAAAGCCTCCCAGACCTTCTCCGGAACCTCTCCGGAACTTTGTCGGGAACTCTGTTGAACGTGACCTGGCTCCGCACCAATGCTTCCCAGACCTTCTCCGGAACTTTCGAAACCTCCTCCGGAACCTCGTTGAACCTGACCTGGCTCCTGCACCATTGCTCACCGGAGCTATTCTGGGCTGAAGAAACCATTAGCTTGCGCTGTTGGGAGGGCAAAAAATAAGCTTCGGTGGTATCCCCCGCAGCCGCAATACTTTTTTTACAAATCTTTCTGCAGCCAAGCGCTGGTAACACCCCTGCTGGGTTTCCGTGAATTAAATGGCCGCAAATCCTGCTGAACCTGACCTTGCTCTGCACCGAAGCCTCCCAGACCTTCTCCAGAACCCTGTTTAACCTGACCTGGCTCTGCACCAAGGCCTCCCAGACCTTATCCGGAACCTGCTCCGGAACCCTGTTGAACTTGACCTGGCTCTGCACCAAGGCCTCCCAAACCTTCTCCGGAACCGTCTCCGGAACCTTCTCCGTAACCCTGTTGCACCTGACCTGGCTCTGCACCAAAGCTTGCCCGACCTCCACCAGAACCTTCTCCGAAACCCAGACTTTCTCCGGAACCTTCTCCGGAACCGTGTTGGACCTGACCTAGACTCGGCTTTGCACCAAGGCTTCCTGGAACCCTTCTCCGGAACCTTCTCCGGAACCTTCTCCGGAACCCTGTTGAACCTGACCTGGCTCTGCACCAAAGCCTCACAGACCTTATCCGGAACTTTCTCCGGAACCTTTTTGAACGTGACCTGGCTCTGCACCAAAGCCTCCCAGACCTTCTCTGGAACCTTCGGAACCTTCTCCGGAACCTTGTTGAACCTGTCCCGCCGCCTCCACCAGTGCACACCGCAGCTATTCTGGGCTGAAGACTTCATTAGTTTACGTTGTTGGGGAATAACAAAGCAGAAACAAAAACAATATCAACATTTATTGTGTATCAAAATCCTCGGAGCACCAAAAAAAAATGTCACACCAAAAACAAAAACGGCAATAATGTTGAAAATAAAAGATGTCAACCAAATACAAGTCATTAATAACAATGGTGGGAAATACTTGATAATTTTAAAAGTGTCCGGGTTTAAAAAAAAATGTGAACAAAACAATGTCATGCAAACGCCGATGATACCAACCCTCATGTAGCTAGAAAGGTTATGAAACGCCAATATACAGCCGAAAAATTGTGACAATAGTCCAGCGTGTTCATAAGTTCTAACAATTCATTGGGTAAAATACAAAAAAATAGCTGAGCTCCAGACTGTGACAGTCATCGAAACAAGCATATGATGTTGGAACCCGCGATGTCCCAGAAGACATCTCTATGGCAAAAGATCAACACGGCGCGCCACGCCCAACCCTAATAAAGTAACGTGTTGTTTGCATACCAATGCATGCAATAGTGACGCATGTTAGGGGGAAGAGGGAAACACATGTGGCACCGGTTTTCACTCGGGATGAAATCCCGTCGCTCAAAGTTTGGATACGACCGGCGGACCATGGTCGATCCCAACCCTTGGTTGTCATGACTGATTTTTGTTGGTTGTACAAATCCTACCGTTTCTTGGGCCCGTGGTGGGCTGCACGGTTTGAGAAACCAAACAGGCGATGAGGCGATGCGCAATATTTGGTAGAAGTGCCGCATGATACAAGCACGCACAGGTATTTGGGCAGGTTGTTGGTGGGAAATTTGAAGAGGGGATCGGCAACCGAATTCGCGCATCGTTTGCAAGTGGTTGGGGCCAAAATTTCACAATCAACATGTGCTGACAAATTGCCATATTATTTTTCCGGCTGCATTGTTTGGTTCGGTTTCATTGCCTTTGGTCGCGTCACAAATCCAAAGAATCAATGTTGTGCAGCGCCGGGTGCTCCATGCAATCGTTGGTTGGGTGGCTGTGGATGGCAATGCGTGGGGGAATGTCATGCGCAAAATGTACACGTAGTAGAAGGCAGCTTCGGAAATTTGCCCGGTTAGCACCTGGTCGGACTTTTTTTTCCAAACGGCAATTTCGGTTCGCGGCACGAATTGCTGATTCCAACAGCTGGCCCGGATTTGCTGCCTTTTCGGATCCCTATGAACACTGGTCCAAACATTTTACTTCAATGCCTTCTCGCACCCGCAAGCGTCCAGAACAAACATGGGAAAATATGTTGCGCAAATTTTGTGAACACATTTCTGGTCAGTCGCTTTGGTTTCGTCATGCTCGTGAACATGTGAGGTGGTTTCCCTTGGAAACACAATTTGCACAATTTTGCCGAAATTAATTTTCGCTGTAGCTTGCAAATTTGGCTCTTGTCCTGACAGGACCGCAGTCATTGACTCGGATGCGCGGCGAAAGAAAAATGCCAGGAAAAGTGCCAGGAAAAGATTTAGTTTCAACATGGCCCACTGCCCAGTGTATGGCACGACCTCTTGCATCGGGCCATTTATTTGAAACGTGTTGGGCACATGCCTTTGATTAAGTTGTTGAATAAAAATTTGAAAACAAAATCCCGTCTGTCAAAAGTACCTACGGACCAAATGATGCCATTCCCACCTTATTTTTGGATACAAAACTTGCATCCCAGGCAAACCAATGCGCAACGTGCACACAACGGAAAAATGACACTTTCCCAAGCACAAACAAAGTGATGCCAGAGAGCCACATGCGGGCGTGGTTTCCGCAGGGCAAGCGAAGCCAGCCTGTCCCTCAAAAGCTGATGGCGCTCCAGGTTGTTCACTCAACTCACGCAGCTGTACGGCACGTGCCCGGTGGCTGCGTGCGACCACGCTTGGTTTTTACAGAAGTTTGCTATGGGTTTGGGACACATCTTGTCCAGTGTGGACAGCAACGGCATGGGAAACGTGGCGCAGGAATTTGGTGGCTTCCCCATCCCACGCCCCACTGCTTTCGGCAACCAATGGTTTGAAGCAGATCCCTTGGCGAGCGCAAAGCGCGGCGGTGTCCAGGTGATTCATCTTGACCTTTGCACAGGACAAGGCGGCAGCCGTTGCCGCCCTGCTTGCTTCTGCTAGGTTTTCAGGCCGCAGGGACTCCGTGACGGCGAGATCAAGGGCGGTCGAGAGCCAGCATAGGTGCGCAGGAAGATATCAGCAGGTCCCCAACACCATCATACAATAAATGTTGGAGATCATCATTGTGAACCCAAGGGGCTGGAAATTTCCCAAGGATGGAGCCATGGTTGTGGCAAAACAGTGCTCTTATGTTCCTGCTTGTGTTCAGCCACCAACCTTCCAAGAAGAGGGGCGTCATAACATACACCGCGTCCCCATAACCAACCATGCGCTTTCAGGACCTTGCACACCAAAATCCATTTGATCGGGTTTCCCCTCTTTAGGGTCAACGTCCATGCCTTGTCAATAGGCTTTTGTGTTCAACGCAGCTTGCCGGGTTGATATTTCGTTTTTTTCCGCTCACCCCCACAAACATACAACGCGATGAACAACATATGGTCTGCGTGCCAAAGTATCAGCCGTGTGGAGTGGAGAGTGTGAAGTGTGCAGTGTGAAATGTGGAATGTGTGCAGTATGCAGTGTGCAGTGTGAACTTTGGAGTTTGGATGAGTTTGGATTGTGGAGTGTGGAGTGTGAAGTGTGCAATGTTGGGTCATATCCAAAGCGAAAGGGGCGGGTACCCTCCCAACCAACAATTTTTGTTTAAGTCCTTTTGTCAATGTCTGGCTTTGCTCGGCGATTTGTTGTGGGTATAGTTTTCCTGGCTCAAAGGTTTGAATTTGTTTTTTTACTGTTTCCACGCGCGCACTGACGCTCGTGC